AAAAAAGCGAATGTAAGTAAGAAAACAAATAAATACAAGCATTTTTGGATGCAAAAGGGTTGTTGAGAGGTATTATGTGAAGACAGAAAAGACGGATTTTTTTTTATTTATTAAATTTTTTTGTTTTTTGTTTGTTTTGGGAATTGCCGATAAAATTTTTAGGGTCGCAGCCTACAAATAGGGTCGGTCGGGTAACCGGAAGCAGAACTATTCTTTTTTGGGGCCTAATGTATGTAGTGCGCATTATATATGTTGCATAATTACCCCAAAACATGCATATTCATAGTCTAGTTCCCTGACGTACCATACCGCGCCGTATCCTGCGGATTGAATCATGATGTACAATAATTACGTGTGTATACATGTAATGGTGCATGTGTACCAGGGTGACCGTTTTAGCCCATTTTCGGCTAATTTTGTCAGAATTTTGTAAAAAAAACCGAGAGTTTGACAGACAATTTGACAGAATGGGTTTTTTTTCGGCAGATTTCTTGCAGAATTCAGCAAAAATGGTTGCAAATTTGATTTGATGAGAACAGCAAATTTGAACAAAAAATGAGAAAATCTGAACAACAAATTTGAACAAAAAATGATACATATTTGTTTAAAAAGCTTCAATCCTTTCAAACAAACCCTGGCATAATGGGACAAGTTGGCTGGTCTAGGCAGAGTTGTAATGACTTGAGTCAATTACTCGACTCGAGTCCGACTCGAGTCACAATTTTTGGTGACTCGACTCGACTTTACTGCGAGCAAATGACTCGACTCGACTTTACTGCGAGCAATAACTCGACCCGACTCCAGTCCCTGCATCAAAGGACTCGACTCGACTCGAGCGAAGGCTGATAATTAAGACACGATCGAGTCCCAAAAATAAAAAGCGCAAATTTGCGAAAAAATATTCACAATGACTTACCGTGCAAAATTTATGCTCACTTTACTTTGCGAATAGCAGTCATGTACAAATATACAAGTGTCACAGACTCCCTCCTCATGGTTCTAATACAAAATACCATCTGGGAACCAGATTTTTAAACACATTTTCTAATTCGCTGTTTCATCATCGGTTTTCAGCGATTTTTATGAAGCTTTAGGATTTGAATGCTCGCTAAAGTTATTGCATCCTTTTATAAATTTTGGTATACATAGTGTTCAAATAATCGTGACTCGAATTGACTCGAGCTAAATATTTGTCTCGACTCGACTCGACCTTTTGACCTAATGACTAAACTCGAATTCAAGTCACTTCTTTAAAATGACTTGACTAGACTCGAGTCACAAAAATCAGTGACTCGTTACAACTCTGGGTCTAGGTGCTGAAGTTCACTGGGAAACGTTGTTGGACCGTATCTGCGTTTTGCCCGAAATTTACGGGATAATTTCATAACATCTTTATGTGACTATAGAATGTTTATAATGTGAGTTGAACCTTAATTATGGGTAATACTACCAATCTACATGTGATTTTACGTGTTTATAGTGTATTTCGAGTAATTCTGGGGAATTTGGCAGATTTTTAATGTGCTTTTAGCAGAATTTAGCTCTGACCTTACGGTCACACTAATGTGTGCGTGTGCGCCTACGGCGCTATACTTTGGTGTATCATACTGCGCTTAGTTATAAATGGCAACTTCTCCGCCATTTCTCCGTCGTATTTTACGAACCAAACAGCGCGAGCGTACTGCAATGTGCAATGCTACCCCGGACGGGCCCGGCGCCGTACACGGCGGGATGGCAACCCGCGACTCGGCCGACAGCAGACAATTATCCACTGTATGTCTGAAACGTCCAGCCAGTAGCATAGCAAGCTTCCAGACTATTGTGCAGTTTTGTGGCAGATCTGTTTCGTGAGTGCGCGTGCGTGAAGAGAAAATTACATACAAAATTGGCGCACGCGCACTAGTTTCCCCCATTTTTGGGGGGGAAATTTAAGCAAGTACCCTAGACGTTGTCCTAACAGGTTCGTGGGTGATATTGGTTGGTCGTGATAGCGCCCTCTCGCGGTGGCCGGTTATAGCGGTGGACGGCGCGGCGTAGCAAACAAGAACAACGTCTAGCCCCTAGACTAGTACCTCCGAGTACAAGAACGGGTCTCCGAGTACAAGTACTTGTACTTCCGAGTACGAGTATTTGTACTTCCAAGTACGAGTACGAGTACTCGCATATCCGAATACGGCCATAAGGCAATTATTGTGCATTATTGGCCCAGGCCCAGTCAGACCGATATACAGACCCACCCATGGCCAGCTGTTCAATGTGTTTGTCCGGACTTGCACAGAGGAAAATCAACCATTTCAAACTGGAAGTATCAATAAAATAAGGCCATGGTAAGTGAAGCTATAACATTCCCCCCCCCCCCCCCCCCCCCCGAGTACTGCTATTCGAGTACGAGTACTTTAATGATCGAGAACAATTTCGACATGTCGAGTACGAGTACTTTGCTGCCCGAGTACAAGTACCGTCATTTCGAGTACGAGTACTTTGACATTCGAGTCCGAGTACAAGTACGAGTACTCCAAAAAAAGTACTCAAGTAGTACTCGAGTACAAGTACCAAGTACGAGTACTACAACACTGTTGCACTCCCATCATCATATAACTGTTCATAGTCTTGTAGTAGAGCCATGTTGGAATCCCCTTGCTCAGTTTGCTTTTTGTTTTGCAAGAGATCGTCAACAGCCTTACTAATGGGTCAGTTTTGGCCCGTTTAGGGAGTGGCTCAGATAGAATGAAATTCTGTATCTGTTCCATGGCATTAGCCATGGGATTGAGCTTGTTTTGAAGGGTTTCAAACTTGTTACGAGTAACCAAATCATTTGATTTACGTTTACCCTTGGTTGAGGTTTTGCCTTTAGGCTTACCCGATGGTTTATCCAGCGGATTGCCGCTGTAGGAGTTGGAGTGGCTGGACTCGTCTGATTGAGTCGCTTGAGTTGTCTCCTTGTCTGTAGCCCCAGCCAACAGCTCTATAATTAACAGCAATATAATTAACACGTTTCTATACGATACACTCCGGTCACGAAAAATGCACTGTGGAACCTGTGCCTTGTGCGTGGTTATATATGGGTCTCCTATTGTTTTATTACAATAGATGCTCTAAAGCGTGACGATATATTCCAGTGGAAGGTGCAATCTCACGTAAGGCCGAGGTGCTATGTGATAGTGAGGTAGAATAGGCTGTGTGCTCTCAACTGATCTCAACCGTGTACAGGGCACAGAAAAACACGGAGAAACACCACATCACTTCATAAAATGACCCACAACATGTACACATGTATATGTTCGAAACGTATATGTACATAGGCCTAATATTATACGGGGCACAGGAGGCCCAATATTATACGGGGCACAGGGAATCGCAGAGAAGCACTGCTGCATAAAAGGTCTATATTGCTTGGAAAACTATTCAAAGTGAATTAAATATCTCATTATAATGTCCCTCAAATGCCACTTTGTTTTAGAAAATAAAAATATGTTAATTTGTTCTTCCTCTGCACCAAGTTTGAAGTGGATCATATCAAAAACAGTGTCAAATTTTGTAATAAACAAATCTTAAAAAAATGAAAAATTCATAAAAAAATCAGCTGATGATGTCATTATGACGTCATTTCAGATTTTGCATACTAGTACCACTATCTACCTTTCCACCAAGTTTCATGACGATTGGACCTTCCCTTATATGTGTTTTGAAAAATCATGCTTTTGATGATGTCATCATGGGGTCACACATTTAAAGAAAACTATGCAATATATCACCTAATGAATCTAATACAAAAAGAATTATGAATTTAGCATGTTGCGTTCGTGAGATATGGTATCAAACCTCAAAATTTGAAAAATATGTATACAATCACATGATAACGTCATGATGACGTCGCCTTAATTTTCACCAATAACACATCCTGGTTTTCACCAATAACTACATACCAAGTTTCAATCCAATCGGAATTGCAGTTATCTAGATAAAGGACTTTGAAATTTGCACATTTAAGATGACGTCATGTGACCCATGATGATGTTACCATGACGCCACTCTTCGGGACACAACCTTGCTATAGGGACTATGCCTGTAACTTTGAATGATGGACAAAGATTAGTGCCAAAAGTGGCGCGGACAAAAGACATCAAGTCTGTGAGATTTTGGGTGTGGAACAAGAAGAAGAAGAAAGACTAAAATCAGAACAAAAACAAAAGCTTTTCCGCAACTTTGCAGAAACATCCCCCCCCAAAAAAACAACTTGAACAAAAACAAAGGCCCCCCCCCAAAAAAAAAATTCCAACAAAGGCCTGTTTCAACATGCATGCCGAAACAGCCAATGAAACTCTATAAGTGTACTTTAGGAACCATTTCCTGTAAGACAACTAAATGAACCTTTTATGTAACTGTACTCTTCAAAATACCTGGTGATGTCAAGGGCGGATCCAGGGGGGGGGCCAAAGGGGGCCATGGCCCCCCCCCCCAAAAACGAAACCAATTTTTAAATTTTTTTATGTGACATCGCAATAAAGGCAGGCAATGAGTACACCACCATCTTTTCCTCAAAAAAACATTGTTTAAAGTGGTCAGAAATTGCCTCAGATCGCACCACAGAGCATCTAGAATCCAAAAATTTTTCGGGGCCCTTTTAAGCGGGCCCCGAACCCCACGCCGTAATTTTTTTGACCCACTTTTTTGGGGACCAAAATATTTTTGGCCCCCCAAAAAATTGTGTTCTGGATCCACCCTTGGGTGATGTTGAAAAGCAACACATGGTCCACCCAAGGATTACTCCATCCAACTTACATCAAAATTCATGAAATTATGTACACAAACTACATTTAAAGCCTATTTGAATAATGACCCCTACTTTACCTTTAGACGTCAGCATTCCAAAGACGAATTGTGGTTTACCACCCAAGGCTCTCTTCATTTAAATCTCGTTAAAATCCATCAAAGCATGTACAATGTTCTAAACTTGCTTTAAAAAAAAATTACTTGTTCATTTCACACTTTAATTGCAGGATGGAATGGAAGACAGTTCAGATCTTCTTTCAGATGAACAAAGCAAGGTAAGAAAAAAAAAGATGAATGTTTGTTGACAAACAGATTGCTGTTTCTGCATTTTGCATGTTTATGTCATGTTATATTCTGATAGGACAAACATGTGCAGTAGAAAGTTACAGAGTGATCAGATAACTTAATTGGCTTTTCAAAAGCCTTTTTGTTTGGATTGTTTTTGGCTTTTTGCAAATTTTGCAAAAAAGCCTTTGTTTTGGTTTTTATTTTTGTTTTTTTCTTTTTGTTCACGCAAAATCCCATGAGAGTTTGTACATGAATTTAGTACACGTTTTTTTTGGCATTCATCTTTGTTGTACATTGTTATCTTAGTCAGCTTAGGTGATTATGTCATGGGTCATCACGTGACCTCATCACAAATGTGCATATTTTGAAGTCCTAAATCTACATAAGTTTGATTGGGTTGAAACTTTGTATACCGGTAGGTAGACTGGAATGTGTTATAGGTAAAAATTTAGGTGACGTCATGATGAGGTCATTGTGTGATTTTGTATGAATTTTTGAATTTTATTTACTTTTTAAGTCTAACTCCCTAGGCCTTTTTGGTAGGATGCAGCCTCAATCCTTAAAAATCCTCAAATTGGCCTCATATAGCCTCAATCCTGCAAATTCCTCATTTATTTCTTGAATATGGTCCATGGAGGGGTGACCACTGCGCACTGCCTTAATCCTGCAAAATCCTGCGGCAGTGACTGTCAATATGGGTCTTTCTACAGTATTGGGTAAAAGAGTGTGACATTTACCTCAAAATTGAAATTGCTTAGAGAAGATTTAAAGACTCAAACATGAATTGAGGGTACAGTCACCTTTTCAGAAAAAGTAGCAAAAAGATAACTTTCTCTTGTACAATAAAAAATTAGGGGTTTGTGTACTGCCTTTAAGGGGTATTACCTATGTAACGGGGACGGACACCTTGGTAGTCCCAGCAGTCAAGCAAGGTATTTGATCAATTGTGGTATGTGTGTTTTTAAAGTGCAAGTGATTATTGTAAATAATATCACCCTAGAAAATCCCCCACAAATTCCCTTTCAGCGAAAAAAATATGAAACACCCTCTGAATCACTGTATTTTTCACATGGTCAATATATTTTGTTTATCTTTCCATTGAAAGACAATGATTAAATGCATGAAGTCTGTCATGCCAATAACTGAGTGTTTGGTGGTCCATTACTGACTGCTTAATTTGTTGTTTGTCAAGTCAGTCTGATAATATGGCTCACATTCAAAAAGGGTATTTATTTAGCATTAGCACAGAATTACCCACGTAACATTGACGGACGCAATGGAAATAAACACAGGCACTGACAGGCAACTGAATTCTGACAGACGTTTAAACATTTATTTATTTCCAACAAAATTATTTCTAACAGTTATGCACATATCACCCCCAACTCCAATCATCTTAAAACATTTTTAAATGTTCACTTGGGATTTTTTTAAAGATTTGTTCCAGTGCGCCATGCCTGGGAACAATGGCTGATTTTGTGCCCAATTTCCGGACACAACCTTTAAAAAAAAAAAATCGGACGAAATTTATGATACTAAAGTAGTCAACATCAAGTATTATTTAGAAAAAGTTACTTAGTATTTAAGTTAATGAACATGAAGATTCACAACAAAGAGAATGAGCTACATGCATGGGGAAAGTTGGGAGAAACTTTGAAGTGCGCCACGTCGTTGTTTTCATTCTGCGAACACTGCACTGCGACAAGCTGTATTGCACTTAAAAGCCTACACATAACAGCCACGCAACAGGTGCGTTTTCCACACAACTCTGTCTTGTCAGGCCCTGTGGCATAAACAGCCAATGAATTTACCCCAAAAAACGAGTCGTACAGAAAAAATTTCACACAGAAAAAGAGTATGAATGCATCAACATTTGTTAAACTATTTTTAAGTGTTGAATCCTCACCTGGATTTTTTTGGAAAGTCCAGTTTGAGAGGCAAACTTTCGCTCATGACAGCGGCACGAAAGTGCGGGAAAAAAATGGCGGCTTCTACTGCATCGGTAGCGACTCGCGAGTTGACGGCTGTTTCCAAATTTACATTTTCTCCCCCCTTGGTGAACCTTTTCATGCCCTGTTCATTAACATTGTTAAAATCGATTTTAGTTGAAAATTAACTGTTTTTTTTACATCACATACCACCTCAGATTTCCCCTTGAATATTGACATGGACCATTCAGTCCTGCAGTGCAAAAAAAATTACACGGGGTAGCTGTTTTTTGCGTGGTTTGCTGCGGCATCCACATTTATGTCCGTATCATGTTACAAGGGTAATGACACACCAGTCATTGTGTCCGTCTCTTGTGTCATCAGCTCGTTTAGTTGTTTTTAATTTCACCTAGCTTCGAACACTGAACATGGTGTTACTGGACATCATCTTCTATCACTGGAAACAAATTTGTCCTGTCTCGCTGTGCTAAGACGTTTTAAAAACCTTTGTCATGATTAGCCACGTAACGGCCATTATCCACGTAACTCTGGTGACGGAATACCAAACATGAAACATTCGCCAGGAAGTTGGAAAGACTGTTCAAGAACAACACGTCAGAAACCCATCTCAGTGAGGGGAGAACACCATAAGATGTCAACTGGGGATCTATCTAATTCTGAGTCGGCACACGAGCGTGATGCGTGGATAACAGTTATCCACGTAACAATTTGACGGACAGTTGGAACTGAGATTTCGTCGGCCGTTTTGAGAAACTTTTCCATGGAAACATTCGCTGTCATGATATGTGCCTCACACAAGATAACATAGCTATAAAACAGTCATAACCAGGTGGGGATACAAGGCTTGGATTTTCCAATCTGGCAAGGGATTACCCACGTAACATTTTGACGGACACAGTTACGTGGATAATGGCTCACCTGACAGTCGGCGTGTATTTACAAGTGAGCTCGCAGCGGTTGCATCTTATATTATTTATGTGGGGGGAAACTCCAACTCTTCGTACACTGTCAATTTAGTTTAATACTGAGACTGAAACAGGGAGAAAAAGCAATAGTTTCCTGCCTTTCAGGAAATGTCACAATATTCAGCACCATTTTAGGGACGCATTCTTCAGAGTTAAGTGAATAATAAACAAACACAACAACCAATGGTTTTTGTTTTATTTCTGATATATCTTTAATACATACTTAACAATATCACACATAACTTGTAACTCTGCAGTGGATGGTTCTTAATAAAATATTTGTGTAATCTTTGTCCGTCAAAATTACCCAATACTGTAGAAAGACCCATATGTTAATGCTTGGCCAGTGACATCCTGACAAAGGTGGCAACCAGTCTATGCATTTGACAACATAGCATATAAATTAAATACTGCAGTACAGGTCGAACAAATGGTCGTAAACATTGATGGAGAAAGAAGAATTCTCCCTTGTCTGTGTATGTATTTTTTGTTCTTCATGAATTTATTTGGAGGTCATACTTGAGGCGATACAGTGCAGCGTGTTTCGTGAAATTTCCTGCCGCAGCATGTGGTTTAGTTGCTCGCTAGATACACAGTGCATTCACGCTGCTCAGGCCCGCGCCCGCTGTTTATTGTGCTTCCCATGCAATACAGACAGTTAGGCATAACCAGCATTGTGCATAGTGGTGTGCAAGACATGAATTCTCCATTATTTTTTTAAAGAAATATCGACATTAAATGTTGTTTACATTAATTGAGGCAAATTTTATCATGTTTGTAACCATTTTTATGCCCTGCCGGGGCATACTGTTTCCGCCTTGTCCGTCCATGTGAGTGTGTGTGTGTGTGTGTGCATGTATAACCACTGCCTTATGGGGTACTGGAACAATGGGAGGTACCCCACGAGGCCATTTTGTGACCTTGTGGGGTACTAAAGTGGTACTCCACAAGTTTTTCACGAAATAAGGCGAGACACCAAAAATACATTGACCGTTCGCACGCGTGCGCACACAGTCGTTTTTTGCTATGCTTCCGAGGATTGGCTTTGTGTTTTCCTTTGTCCCTGTAATATAACACTCTCCCATAGACTAAGCACACAAACCTGCGTTCGAGGACAATAGGCACCTTCCTTCGAGGATCAATGGCCCCTTTGTGCTCCTTTTGTTGTCTGTCCTCAGGCGTAATGCCATGCAGGAACACAGTTTCCTTCCCGTTCTGCATGCCTTCCCGTTCCTTTGCGTGCCGAACTGCGTTTATTCTTCTTTTGTAACACGATTAACTCGTAACCATTTGATTTGCCGACCTCTCCAACTGAGCACTTCCGTATATATTCTTGTCTTGTGATAAATAAACGAATGAATAAAAAAAAGTATGCCTGGTCCATGCTCCATATTTCGGCAGGCGTGATACGGAATAAAACATATAATAATTACCCGGTTGGGCGGGGTGAAAAATAAAACCCGACGGAAAGGTTAATATTTTTGGTGGGCTGGATACTCGGAATAAAAAAAAATAATTACGCTGTTGGGCGGGGTTAAAAATACAACCTCGACGGAAAGAGTTAATATTTTTTGGGGTGGGCTGGATGCTCGGACTAAAAATAATAATTACGCTGTCGGGCGGGCTGAAAATAAAACCCTGACGGAAGGGTAAATATTTTTGGTTGGCTGGATACTCGGAATACAAAAATAAATTACGCGGGATGGGCGGGGTGAAAAATAAAAACCGACAGGGAGGGTTAATATTTTTGGTGGGCTGGATACTCGGAATACAAATAAAAAATTACGCGGTTGGGCGGGGTGAAAAATGAAACTCCGACGGAGAGGTTAATATTTTTTGGGTGGGCTGGATACTTGGAATAAAAATTAATAACTACGTTGTCGGGCGGGGTGAAAAATAAAACCCCGACGGAAGGGTTAATATTTTTGGTGGGCTGGATACTCGGAATAAAAAATAAATTACGATGTTGGGCGGGGTGAAAAATAAAAACCGACGGAAGGGGTTAAAAAAAAAACTGGTGGGCTGGATACTCGGAATAAAAATAATAATTACGCGGTCGGGAGGGGGGAAAAA